TTGGTTCTCTTTCCTGACACTGCCTTTCCCAGAGCCCTACAGTAGGTATTTGTAGACTAAATTTTCAAAAGTGACTAGTGATTTTGGGTGCCTCAGTGTTTAGGGCCTGATTTTTAGAGAGCAGATGTTCAGTGCTTTCTGGCAATCAGGCTCCATCAGGGTGTCCTGACCTGGGCACCTAAAACCATGAGTCACTTTTGAAAATGTAGGCCTGGGTGCCTAGCTGTTGGACCATGGAACCTTTTTCAAGCCTTATGGTTGGAAATGCAGGTATGTTCCTCATGCCTACCATCTCTGGGTTGATGCTATAATTAACCCATTTCCTCTACTCCCCAGTTCCTCTTTCTGTGCCAAACTCAGTGATCTAGATCATTTTCTCTCCTCTTGCTCTATGCGGGAAAATGGTGTGAAATCTCTGCCCTGGAGCTAGTTCTGTGCTTCACTCTATTTCATATGTTGTTAAGTTTATAGGATCCTTTTGGATCTGGTCATTATTGCGGATCTGGCAAAATATCAAACAATCAATGGGTTGAAGAGGTGAACCACATTCCCAGCAAATTCCCATCCTCTGATGGGTACAAGGTATGTCTCTCTTGGCTATTCAGCAAAGAATTGCCCAGTGTCCCGGCCTCTTTCCAAAGGATTACAGAGCAAGGCTCTAAAACTTTCTGGTGTGAGGGAGCTTTAACAACTCCAGACCTGGAGAGGTCTTCTGCAAAGTGAAGCTCTCCAGGCCCAAGTGGCGCTTCTGTGAAACCTGCCTCAGATCTGAAGTTTGGTGGTTCCATGGAGAGCTGGAAGGGTTGGTCTCTGGAGAAGATGCCCTGTGGGAAGTCCCAGAAATAACTCAAGAGACCTCAGAATCCAAGCTCCTCAGAGAGAGCCTGGGAGGCTACTTCTGTGGGTTCCACAGCTCCAACATGTCACTTGAGGAAGGACTCGGACAGAGCTTTGACTGGGTGAATTCGGCCAACCCTTGCTGTGGTCAGACGCCCTGGACCCTAGGGATTTCGCCAGAAAAAGGGCCTTCTCTGGAGTGATGTTCACTTGCTTGATGTTTGGACAACTGTACAGTTTGTGGCACTAGGCATTACCCATACCACTCACGAGAACACACTGCAGTTATAATACTTTGCACTTATACAGCAGTTTCCAAAACACTCGAGCTCTTGACAAGGCTAGGTCTTTAAAGCAGCGGGAACTAAGGCAAAGAGAAGTTGTGGTTTGAAAACAACTCAGTGGCAAGGCTGATAGTAGGATTTCCCCGGATAGGTTTCCCAGTCACTAGACTATGCTGATTGCCTGTAGTTTTAGAGACAGGCATGGAAGCCCTTGTAAATACACAATAGGTGTAAACAGATACAAAGGCCACCAACTTCTCTTAGGGTTCTGAAAACCAACACAAACTATGTAGCCTTTACTTGTGTGGTTAACATAATGTCATTAAAATGCCTCGATGAGCACACAGCTCTCAGGGGATGTCACAGCTGGAGGGGTTCTCTGATCTTTCTCTTAGTTACTGTAAAAAGTGGTTGGACTATTGTTTTTAAAATGACAAATGCTACTACTGAGTAGAGCAACACACCTCGGCCTTTGTTTTGATGTGTGGGGGAAAGAAAAGGACAAAACTTTTTTAAAAGTTCCAACTAGTGAGATTTTCTACGGTTCTATTTACGACAGCTCAACTCTCTTAGTCTGAGCTCAGTGCAGTGAGATTGTAATACCTGTTTCACAGACCCCAGATATATTGTTTTAGGTGCAGAGACTATTTCTGAGTCCCCCATTATTCCTTAGGGGAAAGTATCAACCCAGAGTACAGCTTCTCTTAGGAACCGAGGAGATGCCATACTGGATCAGGCTAGGGTTCCTTCTAGTCTAGTATCCTGTCTTTGACAGTGGCCAGATGCGTCAGTGGAAACTGTAAGAAATGCTTTGGTGGACAATTTTGGAATAATCTCCCCAAAGGGGAAGGTTCTTCTGAACCTGTAGTAAGCTAGAAGTTGGCTTATGCCCTGCAGCATGAATGTAAATGCTCCCTTCTTAACAAACATTAACAAAAAACAAATCGGTCTACTGTAACTGTGAATACACTCAATGAGGCACTATTGTCCAGAGGCTACGGCCATGGACTGGGTGTAAGGAGACCTGGGTGCTACTCTCAGCTTTGCCCCTGACCTGCTCTGTGACCTTGGGCATGCCATTTCCCCTCGCTGTGCCTCTATTGATCTTCCTACCATTTGTATGTGTAGACTATAAATTCTGGGGCAGGGACTGTCTCTTATGATGTGTAGGTAGAGCATTTAACACAAGCATTTACTGCAATATAACGAACTAACTAACTATATATATAACACATATATATATAATTATATATGTGTCTAGTTCTTTTTTGAATCTTGCTCTACTCTTGGCTTCAATAATATCTTGTGGCAATGAGTTCCACAGATTAGTTATGCATTGTGTAACAAAGTTGTCCAAGTTATTGAGCTAACTGCACCTCTGACTCCTTCTGGTCTCATCACATGCACCCCTCTCAGGTCTTGGGCCTCACGCCATCACCTCTCTTGGTATAGAATCATGTGATTCTCCCACTCTGCAGTCCCCTGTGATCAACCGTGGTTACCTCGGCAGGTCTAATTTATCCTCAGTGCCTGCAGTTCCATCCCCTCTGGAGCAATGACAGTGATAACTAGTGACCAGGCAGCATTCGTCAAGCAATGTATTCTTTATTTAGTACAAAAGGCTTTCAGAGAAAAAAAATCTTAAAACAATCAACACCCTCCATGCTTGCCTGTCTTTCCCTAAGGCTTACCGTTCCCTGGATCTGGGGAAAGATCCTAATATTTCAGACTCCTCCACAGAGCCTCTCTCTGGATCTGTCACCCATGCTGACAATTGATCCTCCTTCTCCTGAGGAGGCTTAACTGTTTATAGCCCTTTGATAGCAGAACCGCTATGTCACTTTGGCCTAGGGCCTGGAGGAATGCCATTGTCTTACAATTGCCCCTCAGACTCCCTCCCTCCCTGACCCCCGTGTTTGTTGGGAGGGTTGCTTACCTCTAGCTATTTTGTTGCTTTCCTGGCTGCTTTTCTCACAACCTCCTATTAAGTCAGATCAATACATTCATTCAAGAAATTCCAATAACCCACCATACTCTACTGTAACTTCCCTTTACAGAACAGGTCACATGCAGTGTTCATAACATTATTATATCTCAGTATTCATAGATTATTACATGGCATCTCAACGTCTGTCACAAAAGGATTTCTTGGTCTAGTGAATGGGACTCCTCACAAGTCTCGAGATAGGCACAAGCTTAAGGACTTTACTAACTTGGGGCCACACTTATTACCAGATCCATTGTTTAAGAAGAGATACACTTGGGATGTTGGAAGTGGATTTGGATTGTGTTACTGTGGTAGTGCCAATACAGATGGGAACATTTTGCCCGGCTGATTTGTATACAAATATGTAGTAAGAGATCTCTCTTGCCAGTCAGCATCTTGTATCTACAGACCTATAGGGTCTTTATCCCCAAAGTATTTATGGGTTTAGCGTGACAGCAAGGTATGGAAGTACTATTGTCCCCATTTTACAGATGGGAAACTGAGGCACAGAGCGATTAAGGTTACAGACTGTGGTAGAGCTGGGATTTGAACACAGGTCTTCCGAAACCTAGTCCTGTATCTTTAATCACAGCAACACCTTTCTTCTCTTAGTCAAATCTCTCAGCAAAAAGGTCATTTATATTTTTATTTAGTTCTCTAGCTTTTTTGGAGGCTAAGAAGAAGAAAAGGAAATGTACTTTAGTGAGAATATCTAGAAGTATAGTTGAATTGTTCCACAGTATTTATACTGATTGTTGGGAACAGAAATATTGAAAATCTTTATGGCAATTATAGTAAGAAAATATTTACATCAACTGCATAGTTGAAAAAACTAAGATCTTTCATTCTGTGCTTAAAACACTGGTTTGCAGAAGGGAGAGTGGGGTTAGATTTACTCTTTTGCCACTTACCCGTGGGTGCCTAGAAATAGGATGAATCCTGCATACCTTGATCAGTCAAAACTCCCACTGATGTCAGCGAGAGTCTGCCTGAGTAAGGGCAGAATGCTGGAGCCTGCAATCTTTAGTCTTAGGGACCGTAAAAGAAATAACAGCCCTTTTTAGCATTTGCCCTTTCAACCCTGCCTCATGTCTTCTAAAAGTTTTACAGTTTCATTGATTTCAGCCAGTTGTTGATACTAAACTCTGTGATTGTTCAAAGTTATCTGGCTTTTTGCCCCATTTTAAAATTAAAAAATTAAAATTAGCCTGTGCTAATGCTCCACTACCAGTTAGCTTGGCATTGGGATGCTCATTAGATTAAATACCTTTGATCTCCTTTCCCCATTGTAGGCAGCATCGCAAATAAAAATGTCTTCATGAAGGCCCCAGTCCTGCATCACTGAAGTGAATGAGAGCCTTTCACTGACTTCAGTTGCTGCGGATCACACACTTTGTCGTGGCAGGCCTAATCTGGCAGTCTTTACTCGGTTTTTATGCAGGCAAAATTCCCAACAGACTGAATGTTGAGGTCTTTACTTAGCTGTTGAAGTCAATTGGTATATATCTGAGTAAGGACAATAAAAATCTCAGGATTTGTGCCACAGACTTCAGTAAGTGGGGGCTTTGCTAGAGTTATGGACTACGTCATTTGGCATATTTTTCTTTTTAATGACTTGGAAACCAGCTTGAAAGATTCAACCAAGAAAATTTTGGAGGGAGCTACATTTTAAAATCCAGGCAATAGAATTGATGTAGAAAGTGGCTGGTGTCCAGCATTATCTATACGCTCTTTTTGAAGAATTTGCCTTTTAAAACTTAACAGAATAGAAAGTACAAGAACATTTTAAAAAATAAAGCGAGGGCGAGAATCAGTAATCCAAATGGACGTATGGTTTGTTTATGCAGTGACAGCTCCTGTTTGGAGATCCAGATGCAAATGGCTCAGTCACGTTACACGTATCTGTTTGGCATGCTGGGTTTTCCATTGCTCCCATTCATAGGCCTAAAGAGAGAGGAAAAGGCAATGTTTACAATTTATTTGGATGTGAAGTGAACAAGAAAATGAGTTCTGTAAAAAAGCAAGATCCACCAGCATTGATCAGCTCATCTGGCCTTCATCTAAACCAATGGTTCTCAAGCTGTAGGCCATGGAGTACTTCTGGGTACACTTCACACTGGCGAAGCACCTGCCAGTCATCAGCTAGTGACACTTTCTGCTTGCTGCAGCCCGCTCCATAACTCTTTCAGGACCTTACAGAGGCTTTTTGATCAACAAAACAGTCCCCAATCTGGATCCTGTACAGCTGCTTCGTATTGTTCTTTGTGACATGGTATTGCCAATCCTAAACATCAAAAATCATGAGTCAGGGCCCCAGTAATCATGAGACTGCCTTTAAAAGCATGAGATTTAAAAAAATAATAATAATGCATTTTGGCTTCTTTTTATTTGCCTCTGGTTTCTGAACCTTTGGGTTACACTCAGGTTATGTTTTCAGGCATTTCTCTGAAATCATGAGGGCTAGAAATGCCTTTTTTTAAATGAAAGCCGAGACTCTTACATATTCACATGACTCCTGGAGTTAGCACCTTAACATTAAATATCATGAGACTTTTGATAAAATGGCAAGAATTAGCTTGTGGCTTTTTTGGAAGAAGTACAACCATGATCAAATTTGTCTGCTGTGCCAGACCTGGAGGAGTTACAAGCACTCAGGGAAGAGAACTATAATGCAAAGTGACCTGGATTGATTAGGGCAGTGGGGGCTGCAGGCAACTGGGGGAAATCCAGTCGAATGTACTGTAAGGTTCTGTGCAGAGAACAGGAAATAGACAGAAGAAAAAAGGAGGGAAGTAACTAAGCTGTCAATACCAACCATGTCAGAGTGAGTTTATTTGCTCTACTGTCCTGCTATTACTTTTTCACGTAGCTAAGATTCCTGGTTTCTGCAAGGCAGATGTGGCTTCTGGACTTGGAGGGGGAAAGGGCATGTGGTCCCTGATCTTAAGAAAATATGTAAATGTTTAAGAACCACAGATCGAAATGTGTACTTTGTAGAGAAGTCTTGTATCAAACATAAGTAGGCTTGGCAGAATTTGATTTTTATTTTTTTTATAATTTTGAAAGATAATGTCAATGTCTATTTTAAAGCAATTTTTTAGATTTTTATCAATTTATACGTTTACAGTTGCACAATTTATGGGTTTTAAGACTTTTTTCTATTTTTATCGATTTAAATTTTCACAATTGTGGGAAATTATGGGGGATGGACAATTATTTCATGACCTTAGATTTGAAATTCAAAGCTTTAAAGTTAGAGCTTTATAAACCATTAAAACACAAATTGTCAACATCACATGTCAAAATATACGAAGTAAATAGCCTTAAATCAAGCAGTCATACCTGTTTTTACTATTCATTTGCTAGGTCATTTGCAATAAGCCTAATTCACAAGAATAAATAAGAGGATGTTGACTAATAAGTTCTTAAACAGCATTTTTCTTACTTTGCCTATTTGTAAATTTCAATTATCGATGGAAATATATTTTTGTCGGTTTGTGTGTGTGCGGTGAAATCAGTGTTTACTGACATTTACTGATAAAAATCGAATCCTTCCAAGACTAAAGACTTGTCTTTACTTTCAAGGCCCCTCACAACCTATCAACTACTGCCTCCGATAGGCCATGAAATCAGACTCCATCTCCCACTTGTTAAATTTTCAAACAAGCACCTTTGTGCTTTCTCCCATGCTGCCCCTAACGCTTGGGAGAAACTCCCCATAAACATCTGCATAACTAATACATTATCCTCCTTCAAACTCTTTCTGGCTGTGATGCCTACAAAAAACTTGACAACGGTTAGGCTGCTGGTGCTCGGAGACCATTGCCTGTCATGCTGACCAACATCGTCTCATTGGTTCCTTGTACTCCCCTGTATGTCTGTATCCATCTGTTGTCTCCTGTCTAATACCTAGACTGCGAGCTCCTTGGGGATTTATGTTCTATGTTTGTGTAGCACCTAGCACAAAGAGGTCCTGATCCGTGGACTGGGGCGCTTAGATGCTACAATAGTACAAATAAATAATCACCATCATACTTTACTTTACGATGAAAGCTGGCAGCAATTAATAAGCCTGCTCCTACTTCCCTCTTGCTGTGCTCTCCAAGTCTACTAACGGCCAAATGCTGACAAGTGGTGAGCATCTTGGGCCTGATCCTGCTAGCCCTTCTCAGTCATGTGAGTTGTAGCTCCGAAAGCTTGTGTGAGCTTGGGACTGCTTGTGTGAGCAAAGGATCATGGGTCCAGCCTCCTGCTTAGCACCCACCACCTCCATTCACTTCAGGCACTTGTCACCTCACAGGAAGGGCTCAGTACACACAGGATCAGGCCCAGGATTGTCAGTGTTTTGTCTGGAATCACCTTCTTCTATAGTAATCTGTTTCATCAGGTTCAGCTAAAAGGAAAGTCTAGCGGGCCAGATCCTCAAGCAGTGTAAGTCTGCGCCTCTCCAGGGCCTTTGGATGTACGCTTGTTTACAGCAGCTGAAGATCTAGCTCAGTGTACAGTGCATACTTTCACTGAAAAATCATTTGCGGTGGAAAAAATAAACCCTGAAGTTGCCAGTGCCAGTCCTGGGGCCAGATCCTGTTGAGAAGCAGTCCTTTATCATCTTAGCCCTGGTCTACACTGAGGGGGAGTGGGAGGCATTGATCTAAGTTATGCAACTTCAGCTTGGTGGAGTACAGGAGTTGACAGGAGAGCACTTGGGGGTCGATGTATTGCATCTACACTAGACGCGATAAATCGACCCCCGCTGGATTGATTGCTGCCCGCCGATCCGGCGGGAGTTTAGACATACCCTGAGTCGTACCACTGACTTCTGAAGAGCTGTTATTGAAATCAGTGAACTGCTCACCAGAGCAAGGACTACTCCTGTGAATAAAGGTTTTCAGGATTGGGCCTTTAATTCTCATTTCCCATCAATATGTGTGATATTCATTTTATTCACTACGGTAAAGTGTAAGGTTTAAATGCCTCACATTACAAAAAGAAAACTGGTACTTCTCCTTTAACAGCTCCTAGCTCTAACATTCTCCAAGATGTTCTTTCTGGCCTGAAACTTTCCAAGCTTTGGTCAGCCCTCAGGTGAATTTCTGGGGAAGTTTGAGTGCAATCCATTCAGCTGTTTTTGAATGGAGCCGGGAAAAATATACATACTTGTTCCCATTTCCCCAAGATTTCATTTTGTGCACAAATGACATATCGACAGATGAACTTGACGCACTAAGGCATAATTGCTTTGCTAAGTTTTTTGGGGGGAAAGTTTTAAAATAATGGAAATGTAAGTAATTAAAATATAATTTTTCTGGCATACACAGAAAATCTGTTTCCTGAGGCACTTAGAATCTCACGCTATTGGTTCTACACTCCATAGTTCTGCTGTTAGGTTTTTGCCATACTAACATAGCATAGGAATTTCAATGGGAGTTTTGGGTAGGCAAACAGGCAATATTTTTATTTATTATTACAGTAGTACCTAGGAGCCCCAGTCATGGACCAAGGCCCGATTGTGCTGGGTGCTGTACAAACACAGAACAAAAAGATACGTCGTGGCATGATGACCTCTTGGCCAACACACCAGGGATTGAACTGGGGACATCCAGAGGTAAAAGCAAGAGCTGCTATAGCTTGAACTAAAGTATCAACCCTTTTTAGCTGGGGGCTGTAATAGAGCTAAGTGAATATTTTTTTTTCACCACAAAATGCATTTTTCAGGTCACCAAAACTATTTGCGAATTAGGGTCAAAGTTAGTGGGTAGTTTTGGCCAAAAACAATTGGAATTTTATTTTCAAAAATGTTGAAGTGTATCGGTTCAGCTGTTTCAAAATGAAAAATATGGAGTTTTGGTTTCAAAATGGTATTTTATTTTGAAATTTAACTTTTAGAAAAAGAAAGGGTAAAAGGCCCCCCAAAACAATCCAAAACTGAACAAAACCCCTTGTTTTGGGTTGAACAAAATGTTTCATTTGACCTGAAACAAAATTTTTTTGTTTGGCAAGGAAAAATAGCAAAAATTCAGTTTTGGTTCTAACTGAACCATTTCCCCTCCGAGTTCAACCCACAAACTGAAAAATATCTGTTATACGCTCAGCTCTTGACCATAACAACTTCCATCCTCTGTAACTCAACACAGAGGGTGCCTGTAACACACACTCCGCAGTGGATTAGAATAGCACTTTGTAAGGCAATACATAGCTCATACTGGAGATAGAGTGAGATAATAGAGGCATGTATTTTTTAGGTTCCTGTGTAAAGCTGCTATGATGTGGTCCCAACGCTGTGATCGCAGTGTTATATTTAAAGATCAGAAGGCATTTTCATTCTAAAACCCTTTCACAAAACATTACTCTTTGGGCAGCAATTTCTAATGCTTGATCTCAGCCTAGGAGTTCCTTTTTAATAGCTTTTAACAATCTGGTAACCATTCTGTCTTAGGGAGATATTAAAAACAGCATTTTTCTGATGTTAATTTTTCTCAGATGAATTTATTCATGTAGGTAACTCAAAAATAGCTTGTTCTGAAATTTAAAATCTGACATATGTGGGTCCTGAAGCGGGAATGTGAGCTTAGCTTTATCTGCAGACATTGGATCTGCCAAAGAAAAGGCTCTGGAGGTTTGAAAATACCACCCTGAGCATTCATTAAGTCCAGATCATCTAAATGCTAATCCCAACCCTGACACTTAGGGCTTGTCTATTGTATGGATTTCTGCACCAATGTAGTTCCACCAGTGCAAATCCCTAGTGTGCACTCACTGGGACAGTGTAAAATGAGGCTCACACAAGTGTGACTTGCCCCTGTTTAAAAAATCTTCTGTAGACCTTCGGGAAGTCATTTAAAACTACTTAAACCTGCCTGCCTCAGTTGATCCAGAAAAGGATTTAAGTACAGCTCAGCTTTAAGCATGTGTGTAGTCCCACTGTCTTCAATAGGATCATGCATGTGCTAAAATATTTTTTGGGGTCCAGCCCAGAGGGCTCAGCACCTTGCACCCCTTAGATAACACGGGCCAATGTGACAGCACGCCTGCTGGAAAAGCAAACTATACTTTCCCCTATTATCCGTGACGGAGACATGTAACATTTGGTAGGTACACTGGGTGATCCTCTAATGAAAGGGCCTACTGTAATTCATATCCACAAAGTCTGCAGCCTGCAAACTCTTTGAGGCATGAACTGTCTTCCTGTGCGTCTGTACAGCACCTACCCTATATTGGGTGCTAGTGTATTTAAATGGTCTATAATAATAACAAAGGGGAAAGGGTTAAAGCAAGAACCTTAAGGCTGATTTTCCGGACTTAACGACACACACAAGCCCTCAGAAGTAATATTGTGTGCATGTGAGGGGGCCGATGCGTGGGACTTTTTGGCTTGTGGTATCAATTTACTTTATAACACGCTGTGCAAGAAGCCACTGAACTAAAGAGAAAATGCCCCCAAATGGAAGTTTACCAACCTTTTACATTTGCATCTTCGTCTTCTGGTTTCTTTTAAAAGAAAAGAAGATGAAGTTGAAAGAATTAGCAAGCGAGTCATCGTTCCGTAAAAAAGACGCTGCAGCACCACATTACCGGCATTCCCCCCCCACCCCAAATTATCCTCTGCATGCTAGAGCTGAGTTTATATTTGCTGTAGGTTTGGGTCAGCCACTGTCTCTTTTAGTTTTCTTTTGGGCAACCCTTAAGCAAGGCAAGTTAGTCCTTATCCAACACATAGTCCTACTGAGGTCAATGAAATTGCTCCCAGGAATAAGAGCCACTCATGTGATTAATGGCTGCAGGATTGAGCCTTCGGTTTGTATTCAGGACTAAAACTCAAAACTGGAGCATTGACTGTACGTTACTGTTTGCTATCGATACCAATCTGCAAAGCCAGTGAACATTTGTTTGCCGTGGTTATTTCTACAATAGGCAAGCGGCATGGATTGCCAGAAGAGCAGAACCAAATTTACACGAGGTAACTGAGACCTGAACCTGAAAAAGAAGGAGGACTTTTTCAGTAAAAAGCTAAACAAAGTCAGTCTGGAAATAGGGCGTACGGTACATTTTAACGGTGCAAGTAATTGACGATTGGAACCATTTACCAAGGGTCATGGTGGAGTCACCATCACTGACAATTTTTAAATTTAAACCGCTGCTCTCTGGCCTGGGAGCTAAGGAGTATCTGGCTCAGCCGGATGGAGGGGAGTCACTTACTTTGACACACTGTGATGGTGACCAGCAGGGCAATGAGGAGGAGCAGACAGGCGCTGGTTAAGGGGACCCAGATGTAAAAGTCACAGGATAAATCCAGCCCTTTCTTTGGGGCTTTCGCTGCAGAAACAAAATAGCGTAAAAAATAAAACTAAACCAGGAGCTTCAGCGATCCCCCGCCCCGGCTCCGCTCCAAGAGGTGGGATCAGGCGGTGGGTGGGGGTGCAGGATGCATTCGGTGCAGGGGAGGGAGGGACAGGTGCATGGTGCACCACGTGCTGTGGAGACAGAGACGACCCATGCTGGCCAATAGTGGGGGGAGCCATTTCTGCTACTAAGCAGCGATCCCAGAAGGGAGGACGGGGCTTGTGCTCATGTGTGAGCCGCTGAATTTATCTGCAGGGCTGGTTTAATGAGCCGCCGGGTTTCCCTCCGCAGGGAAAACACGTGGCCGGCAAACCCGGGTTTGGGATCTGTCCAGCCCGGGAAAGCCAGCGCGAGCCCGGGAGCCAATGCTGCGTGCAGAGCGAGCAGCCAGGGCGTGTGAAATCACAGCCAGCCCCGCCGCTGGGGGCTCTGGCTCCCCCAAAGCTGTGGGGACGGGCCAAAGCCGGTACCTGTGTTCGGGGAATGTTTGCAGGGTTCCTTGCTGCCGGTGGTGGTGCTGAGCTCGGGGGTGGTCGCCTTCGTAGTGGGGACTGCGGTGGGGGGTGCTGGAAACAAGAATGGAAACAACAGGTAGTGAAGTCAATCTCTGTCCCTTCATCTCCTCTCGCTGCCTTTCTCTGTCCCTCCCTCCAGGACTCACTCCCTCAATAGAGCCAATAGAGGCCGTGCTCCCACGTACCCATAGCCCATGTGGACAGCAACTCCTTCCCCAGCCAAGGCTACTCTGTAGGGATCTCCTGGGGCAATCCCAGTCCTGGAACAGACTCCAAACTCCTTTATCTATCTATCTATCCATCTATCTATCTATCTATCTATCTATCTAGCTAGCTATCTATCTATCTAATCTGGTTTTATCCTTCTGCCCATCATCATAATATCTGGGTACCTTCCAGTCCTCATAAAATCAGTAGCAATAGCAAAGCCCCTAGTGGACGTTACGGAGTCTCTGGCACTTATCCCATTTTGGGGTCAAAACTCTGCTTGGGTAAGGTTTGGGGTTTGATTTTTTAAAAGATTTTCTTAATGTTTAGGGGTTGGTTGGGGTTTGTTGAGTAGAAGGGGGTATCAGTGATGGTGTTTGTTGGGTAGAAGGGGGTGTCAGTGATGGGGTTTGTTGGGTAGAAGGGG